CAGAAACTCCTGGGCTAACTGCTTCCTCTCCACCGAGGGAACATACTCATCTCGGAAAAACTGTGTGAACCTCTCCCAAGTCACTATAACATGATCTCTAGGAGTAAAGCTGCGTATCACAAACTTCCACTAGTTTTTTGCTCCAAAGCGAAGCTGGTTCAGCACAAACCGAACTCTCAATTGCTCGGGGCATGAACACGTGAAAAACACCCCTTGATATCGGAGATCCATCTCATAGCAGCAATCGGATCCTGTGTCCCATCAAACTCTTGTGGCTTCATGTTGCTGAACTCCCGGAACAACAACGAGTCACCTCCTTGTGGCCTAGCAGTGGCTACGGTCACAGTGGCTGCAGCAGCAGTAGCCTCAGTAACAGCAGCATAACGCTCATCAAATGTCTCAATCAGTGTGGTCTTGATAGACCCAAACATCTCCGGTATCGCCTCTCGGATAGCTGCGGCCACGTCCTCATGAATGATCCTGCGGATCTCCTCGTCACTGGAACTACCGCCCTCGGGGTTGTGGCACGTACCCACCATGATGTCTCTGAAACACAACACAAAAATCATCAGAGACTCGTTCGATCATACTCACACTCGATTTCCCGCCCTTACATGCTTCTTAGTAACCTAAGGATTCTTACTTGGGTTACATACAGATCTGGTGTTTTTAGTAGTACGGGCCCAATACTACCTTCCACACCAACCTATAGTCACCCCAAGTCCTCCTCCTAGGATTCCAATTCACAAGTACTCTATCTCTCACGGATATCAGACTACTCTCTTAGTACACTCCTCATATACTCATTTAGATATCTCTCCTAGATTATCCCTCGACTCAGAACTCTTTCTAAGTCATTCCTGCTAGATACTCCTACTCAGCACATACTCAAGGCAAACAACAGATACCAACAACTCCTAGGCTAAGGCATCAAAAATCAGACAACTCTAGCCCTAAATACGAAATACCTAGCCTATCCTCTAGCATGCATCCCTAACATCTCATAAATATCTCATAACACAAATAAGTAAGGGTATTTATGGAAATCACCGTTCGGGCTCTGTCTGATTGTACACACTGCTCCAACTCATTTTTCTCTTAAACTCTTTCTCATTTTGTAAAAATAGTTTCTTTTGAAAATTTTTCTCAAATCCCGAGTTTGAGTCCAGACACACCCGAAGGTACATCTGAATCCCTCAACCCAACACTCTGATACCAACTTGTAACACCGTCAATTTTCAAACAAAGTTTTCATTTTTAAAAATCACATAATTCTCATAAACATAGTTCACAAATCTCCAAAATGACAATTTATCAAAAACACATGTTCATAAATTGTTTAAACACAATCCAGGATCCTCAACATAACTCCGCCTCGTGTGTATAATCAAGCCGGTGCCTTCCTGTGGTCCTGAGAAGTACGTGAAACACATAACACATAACACAGTAAGCACGAAGATTAGTGAGTTCCCCAAAATACCACACATAACTCATTAGCCTCTCATGGATATATCTCAAATAAGACCCTCTGGTCGATGTGTCTCAGTGGAACCCTCCGATCCCACAACTCGGGTGGACCCTCCGGTCCTAACTTAGTAAAGCTCAGCATAAAACACAACATAAAACACAAATACATAATGCAGGATATCCAAATACTTAATATAAGCACACAAGACCCTCCGGTCACACGAAATTACCTCTCAAGGTAAGTATAGTGAGAAGACTCACCTCGTAAACAAGCAAATACACCTCGTACACAAATCACCGATCTATTCTCCGCCTAACACATATGATAATTATGTCTAATTAACACTCTAATCACAACTCTTAATAAACCAAATGCTATTCTGTCTCTCTAACTCTTGGAATGGGTAAAATACCATTCTACCCCTCCATGGTCTCCATAATCCCTGTCTTGACCAACCCTAAAGTCAACAGAAGTTAACACTCGAGTCAACAGTCCATGTTGACCCGACTCTTCGCGTGCATCTATGTGACTCATCGAATCCCCTCGTTCCTTCAGAAAAGTCGCAAAAACCTATCTCAACTCGTCGAGTTGTCTCATCAACTCTCCGAGTTACTCATGTCCATACTCGTCGGGGAAAACCCTAACCGACTCGTCGATTTGGCTCATCAACTCGGCGAGTCCCTTAAGTTTCTTTTCTCATTCAGACATTTTAAGGCAGATTCATAACCCCAAACTCTAGATCTAGCCTCCCAAGGGTGAGATACTACGTAAAGCTACAATCTTTACATCCATGCATGGCACTTAGGGATTGAAATGTCAAAACAAGCCCCATTTAGGGTCTTAAGCATAAAAGCTTCTCTATAGTTGGATAAAGCTGGGACCTTTGGACTCTAGGGACCTCAAAAGGTCCATATCCGAAGTCTCAATCACTTGGTAAGTTGAACACACTCAAAGGCTCAAGGAAAGATGGAAAAAGCCCTAAAACTCCATGAAAACGAGATCTAATCACAATAACGAGCAAGGTGAAGATTTTTACCTTCAACGGAAGCTATAGATGAAATAACACCAGATCCAACAGCCTCTTCCCATTCATTGCCTTGATACTCTCCTCTTCTCTTCAAAAGGTGCACTAAAATGCCTAAAGATTAGTTCTCATTCTCTCTTAGCTCAATATAGACGATTAGGGTTTCACACAGGGGAGTAAGGTGGGTGGTGAGGCAGAAATGAGGGCTTAAGGTCCTTTAAATAGGACCCAACCCCGGAGATTTAGGGTTTCCTCTCAAAGCGCCAACTCACCGACTTGGACTCTCCGACTCGTCGAGTTGGTCATAAAACCCACGTGGTCAATCCGCCTCTACTCGAAGAGTTGGGGCATCCAACTCGCCGAGTTGCTCAAAGAACTCATAAATATATAAATATTATACTGGGAGTCGGGATGTTCCATCCTCTGTGAGACTGGAAAGGGAATAAAAGATTAATGAAGGGAATGGAATGGAATAAGCTACTCTCATATGATCTTTTTGTATCACGTGTAAAAGAGCAAAACACAGAAAAACACAGTTTCACCTCTTTTTTCCATTAATTGTGATTAATGGAACTTTATTTAGAAAAATAAAATAAATTAAACATAATATAAGCTCCTTACATCCGAAAGTAAGATTATAATAGATTATATATTTATTGTTATTTATTGACAATAAATTTAAACTTAACTACAATTTTGGTTTTTTATTTAAAATGTGTCATTAAAAATCATAAGTAAAAATAGGTTATACTGTGATTTTCCATCCCATTCCATGATGGAATAAGAAAAGAAAATCCCATGAGTAAAGAATGAAAATCAATAAATTGGAACGGATCAAGTACAGGATAAACCACTCCATTCCTTCCCTGGTTCAATCATCACCTAAATACAAGATATTGCAACTTACTTCTACTTATTGTGGTAAATGAACCTTAAATCCAAGAAATAACAAAGTATAATCGAGAACTTTGCTAAAGTACGTTGCTATTTCTCACAATTAACCCTTAAAATTTATAATTTGTAATAAACAAACACATAAAGATTATTAAAGATTAAAGATACTGACTGATGATATTAATCCAGTTATTCCACTTTGAAGCAAAGCTGTAACATCATAACCCAATGCATAGCAGTATGAAGAATCAAAGTTTGATGGGAAACCACATCTCCCTTCATACCTAATAAGAATTTAATAATTAAAAAATATCAAAAACAGTGTTATTATATATATATATATATATATATATATATATATATATATATATATATATATATATATATCCAATAAAGTACCCGAAAAACTGGGATTGGCCTTTAAGTTCACCATTATATTGACCGATTTGCTTCCTTTGGTCCAATTCAGTTTCAACCATCTGAATAAGCATCTTCTCTGTTTTAATTTTGGCAACCTAAAGAAAAAAAAAATCATTAATCATGACATTTGATTTAACCCTAATTTAAATTACTAAGAAATACATTACCTTGACATTTCCATGTGGATCTCTAGCAAGCAACAATTGATTTTGAATTGCTAAAGAAAGCAAGTCAAAAAGCTGCAAAGACTGAGGAACAAGGTTTTGTTTCCAAATTCCACCCTCATCAATAGTTTCATTTGCCAAAATTTTATTTAATTTAAAAATCAACAAGTACACCTAAAAATCATCAACAATGATGAGTATGACAAGGCCAGAAGGTTATTCTCGTCTTTTTCACTTTTTTTGGAGGGTTTAAGGTGTTTGTTTACCTCAGGTATGAAATCAATAGCCCCTTCGGGTATGAGAATGGCACCATAATTATAACCAAGATCTGGACGTTTACAAATTACATCTGCTACGTAATTTGTAACATTTTTTAGTGTCAATTTCTTCGATGCAACCTGTGGGAAAGTGAGAGTATGAGAAAAAAAATCATTTGTGAGGCTCTAAAGATGTAAATTAAAAAAAAAAATTGAATTTTGACTAAGCATTTGTAATTATACCTCATCTCCAATAAGAGTGATGTTTGGATGAGTTACAAATTATGATGTTGTAATAAAAAGAAATGAAAATAGGATGCTAATAATATATTAACGACTCAGTAATATGTCCGATACTTTCACTATATTGACAAAATTTATCTTAAAGTTCCAAATGTCTCTTTCAGGCCTCTTTAGGCATATTATGATGTTGTATTATTTCCAGTAAACGGTAATTCAGTAATTGAGGACATTGTTATATCTTTTTTTTTCAAGAAAAGGAATCATGGGATATGATCACCCCAGAAAAGATCAAAGCAGTTGGGAAAAAGAAGGAAGACAGGAACATGTTGTTTAAAGATAGGAAATATGAGAAAGCTTCAAACAGATAGGAGAATGGTGTGAAGTACATTGAAAATGATACTTTTTTTCGTGAGGAAGAAAAGAAGCAAACGAAAGTGTTGAAGGTTTCCTGCAATTTGAACAATGCAGCATGTAAGCTGAAGACGAAGGAGTACAAAGAGGTTGAGAAACTTTGCACGAAGGTGTTGGAAATGGAGAGCAAGAATGTAAAGGCGTTTTATAGGAGGGCTCAAGCGTATATTATTGTTGGTGATTTGGATTTGGATGAAATTGATATAAAGAAAGCTCTTGAGATAGCGCCTGAGAATAGGGATTTGAAGATGAAGTATAAAGTTTTGAAGGAGAAGATGAGGGAGTATAATAAGAAGGATGTTATGTTTTGTGGGAATATCCCAACAACTTCCTGCAAGAATGGTGTTATTGGATAAAAAAAAATTAGATGGTAAGATTTTGTAGAAACAAATACCAAATAAGGAGACTAATAATATATTAACGACTCAGTAATATGTCCGATACTTTCACTATATTGACAAAATTTAACTTAAAGTTCCAAATGTCTCTTTCAGGACTCTTTAGGCATATTATGATGTTGTATTATTTCCAGTAAACGGTAATTCAGTAATTGAGGACATTGTTATATCTTTTTTTTTCAAGAAAAGGAATCATGGGATATGATCACCCCAGAAAAGATCAAAGCAGTTGGGAAAAAGAAGGAAGACAGGAACATGTTGTTTAAAGATAGGAAATATGAGAAAGCTTCAAACAGATAGGAGAATGGTGTGAAGTACATTGAAAATGATACTTTTTTTCGTGAGGAAGAAAAGAAGCAAACGAAAGTGTTGAAGGTTTCCTGCAATTTGAACAATGCAGCATGTAAGCTGAAGACGAAGGAGTACAAAGAGGTTGAGAAGCTTTGCACGAAGGTGTTGGAAATGGAGAGCAAGAATGTAAAGGCGTTGTATAGGAGGGCTCAAGCGTATATTATTGTTGGTGATTTGGATTTGGATGAAATTGATATAAAGAAAGCTCTTGAGATAGCGCCTGAGAATAGGGATTTGAAGATGAAGTATAAAGTTTTGAAGGAGAAGATGAGGGAGTATAATAAGAAGGATGTTATGTTTTGTGGGAATATCCCAACAACTTCCTGCAAGAATGGTGTTATTGGATAAAAAAAATTAGATGGTAAGATTTTGTAGAAACAAATACCAAATAAGGAGACCAACAAAGAGATGAAGGAACTTTTGGTACCAATTTACAGGGTACAAGAGAACCTACAACATGAGGGTAAGATTCAACTACAAGTCTACAACAGAAAGGAACACATGCCATCTAACTATGCAATCCCATTTTCACATTGTGAAAAACAGGGGACCTACAAATTTGGGAACACGAGTTTATTTTACTGCACTTAACTAAAGAACAAAGGACAACCAATCTATTGATAATGCAATAAGTTAAAATGAAATGAAATAAGAAAAAAGAAAAATACCCTAAGTTGAAACATCAAGAGACATGGCCATTGATCTACTAGACTACCTGACAAAATTAATTTTCCACTAATAACAGCCGATAATGTAATTATGTTTTGAATCATTATTTAACACTTCCCTTTCATTCAAAACTATAGAGTCTAAATGTAACCTAAAATTATGTTTTGATTTTGGAAGCGACTTCTTTGAACTCCAACCACATATTAAAAATTCGATTGTTATGCCCTAGTGATGTCTATACCTTAGACATTCATCTTCACCACATTGATAAATTCCACAAAAGAATTTATTTCATAACTTCTATGCAAAGTATATATAGTGTCAAATTCATGACAAAGAGGTAGCGGCTGTAATTCGTGGAAAGGTTTCATCATTCATTTCTTGTTGGATGAAGAAAAGTCCTTTTGATTGTCCCACAACTGAGCATCAGTTCCCTCACCTCATTTCCTTTGGGTATTAAGCCCACAATTCTAAAGAATTAATAAGAATCTAATATCATAATTTTGGCCTCTGAAAGTTGGATGAAGACTTTATAGTTTTCTCATATAAGTTCACAACATAACAATTTTTTTCACAACATAACAATTTTGTTAGCTTTGTTTATCTTTAATTGAATAAACTAACATAAATGATCAAACGGTGACAAAAATACTAAGGGCATAACAATTTGTGATATATAAAATGTGGATCATCCTAATCATGTAATAGAAAAAATAAGTTAGGGGTTTTTTTTTAACAAAATTTATTGAAAAAAAGATGAAATCGGATTCAATGGCAAGGTCCACCGGCTACAGCAGTAACTTGGACGATGGTGGCGGCGGCATGAGACTGAGGCGATGCTGTTTGTCGTTGGTGAGTTGCAGGTCGGGCGGGAAGTGGGAGGGAGAATTATGTTGTGTCAATGAATTTGGAGGAGCTAGAGGGCTTTGCTTCCGACGTCGATGGCAGAGGCAACATTGTTGGCGGAGTCAATCGCTGGTTGGTTGTAGATTGGAGATGTTGGGAAGAGCTAGAAATCGCAGATGGGGGGAACTAGAAAAAGAAGAGGGAAAGTGAGACTATGGAAATACATGTTCTTATTTTAAGTTCAGATAGCATATTTACGAAAGTGCCCCAACTATTTAAAAAATAAAAAAGAAAAATCGAATTTCAGTAACGGATTTCCAACAGAATTTCAAATTTGTTGATTTCCGTCGGTATACTGTAATGGATTATCGGCCAATTTCATTATGTCGCAACAACGCCTCTAATATCCTAATAATTCATCTGTCGGAAATCCGTCCCAAACTGTAATGGATTATTGGCCAATTTCATTATGTCGCAACAACGTCTCTAATATCCTAATAATTCATCTGTCGTAAATCCGTTGCGGACATCGAATAATCAACTTTTTGAAGCGCTCTCAATATACATGTAAATATTTTTTTCCTTGTTTGATACCAAAGATTTCACGATGAAGATTTGAGACTCACACTTTGGGAAAATATTTCTCCAAAAATAATTTGGCGATTGCATTCCATGTGGTGATAGACCGAGAGGGAAAAGCGTACGTATAACCATTCTTTTGTCGAGTCTTGTAATGAAAAGGAGAATGCCTTCAAATTTATGAGATATTTTGTAATAGCGTGTGATTTTATTTTAGAACAGACGAAATGAACATAGTTGAGAAATTTATGTGGATCTTCGTTTTCTTAACCTCAGAATATTGGAAGCAGATAAATCAAACCATAATTTAATACAAATTTATGGGCAGCTGGGAAATTTATGCAGAGAGGTTGTTGAACAACCTCCTGAGTAGCCCACTTTCTGAGAATCTTTCTTTAGTGTCTACATAGTTATGGTCGTGGAAGATTCGGTATCATTATCAACAAATTTTTTGGGTTCGGATTTTGTAGATGATGGTGGGTAATCTTTCTTTGCAAGGTTAATAGGCGATGATGGTGTCGCTTTTGGAAGTTATGTAAAAGTGGGTTCAATTTCATTCCACATTGGAATATCTTTTGAGTGGTGATGTTTAGATATGAGGAGGATGAAGCAATTGAGGAATCCGTTTGTTGCTTCTGAAGTTCGAAAGCTTCTTCATCTTTTTCGTTGTTTTCTCAATTTCTAGATCGAAGACTAATATACTTATATGTAAATATCTGGGTGTTAGGTGTATTTTGTGCACCCTTTTGCACCTATCTATTTAGCATAGTTCTTCTTCATTTTTCTTGCATTTCATCATATTCATGTTAGTCTCTAGAACAACCTTATTTTCACACTTTCATGATCAATTCAGGTAAACCGGAGGCTGGAACGTGCTTTGGGAGGTGCGGGGAAGCATTGGTGAGGATTTTGGGATGATCGGGCGAAGAACGGAAAAGTTGAAAAAATGAAGTTTGGATTCAGAGTCAGAGGGGTACACGGGTCGTGTTGCAATTACACTACAAAATTGGCACGGCCGTGTTTGACCACAAAGAAGAGTTTAACCTTGCTGAACACGACCCGTGTCAGTTTAGCCCATTTTGACACGGGCCGTGTTGGCCCAATTGAGCAACTTTGAGCATTATACTTTAGAATGAAAATCGAGGATTGAAGGACATTTTTCCACTCAACACGACCCGTGTTAATTTACTCTATTTTGACACGGGCCGTGTTCGACCCTAAAACCAACTTTTGGCAGTTTTTCCTATTTTTCATATCACGGGAATTGGGTCATTTTTACAAATATACATCATATCAGAGCAGTATTGGTGAGGGGATTTCGAAGGCTTTTGCAAGGATTTGATCATTTCTCATTTGGAAACATTATTTCTCCTATTTATAAGCTGTAATTGCACATTTTTTCCATCTTTTAACTTGAGATCTTGTTCTAGCCATGTGTGGCTAGAACCCTAGTTTCTCCAACTTCATGTTTTGACTTCTTGGTTGTGATTTCAATCATATGACCTGATGGTTGTCGTTAATTTCTATCTAGTGAATTTGATTTTGCTTTAATCAAATGTTTGAATCTAAATGTGATTCTTATTGGACATTTGAATTAAGGTTAGGTCATTCAAGTTATCTAATTGCGAAATCCATAATTGTTTTGTGAATTGGGCTAAGTAACAAGCACTAAATTGATTTCCATTGAATGAATTTAGTGTAAATCTTTTTCACACACTCTTACACTCCCGAGCTTTTAAGGAGTATTGAGTGTTGTTGGGAACATTCACATAAAGTTTAATTCAATCTTTTGATCTAATTCTAAGAGCTTGTTTAGATTAGATTAGTAACGTTAGGGTTAATCAAAGAGCTTGTTTTGGTTAATTAATGTGGTGAATGGGAAGTGTTAGATCTTTTTAATACTTTGAAGTACCAACTTAGATAGAATTAAACCAATATCTTGTCATCTTTGAATCGCATTGCTAATTTGTTATACATAGAGTTGGTGTCCTTACAATTTCTTAAATTAATTTACTCATTGGTCGATTATTTGTGTCTTAAATTTGTTTGTTTAATAATTGCATTCAAAATCCCCCCTCTTTACTGTTAGTGATCAAAGTACCTTGCGCAAAGAGGTATATACTGATTTTACCGTGTCTCTGTGGTTCGACCCTGCTTACCTTGTACTATCTTTTAGTGCAACATAGTAGTGTTCTTTTGGAGTATATCGTACCCCTTTATTTGTTTGGTTTGACACGCCTAACAAATTGGCGCAGTTGTCGGGGATACTATGTTACTAATTGTTTATGCCTAGATATTTTCGTATAGGTACACAACTACTAATTGAATCGGAGATAGAGAAGACTGCAAAGAGGTTACAAAAGCAAGCCAAGCTTCATAAGAGGCAACCGGGTTCCGGGACTTCTTGATCATCCAACCCTCTAGTCATTAATATTTGGGAGGATATACCCCTCTCAAGTGTATCCGCATCCGAAACAGAAACTCTCTCACTCTCATCAGAACCATCCTCACCGAAAAGTATCACTTCACCCTCTTCACCTACTCATAACATCCCAAACTCTACACCCACAGAAACTTCAACCACTACTCATACCATGGGAGATAACCATGGAGGGAATACACCTCCAAATCCACCACCCGAGCAAACCCTTCGTCAATGGGCGAGGAAAGAGGTTACTCAACAACCTCTTTGCATCACATATCCGACAGCCACCAACTTAGAACTAAAATTTGTGTTCATCCACTTACTCCCAACCTTTAGAGGCCTGGAAAATGAAGATCCTCACAAGTTCCTCACTGAGTTCCATGTTGTGTGTGTGGGCGTGAAACCATACAATGTAACGGAGGATCATATCAAGCTTAGGGCATTCCCCTTCGCAGTGCAAAATGCATCAAAAGACTGGCTCTATGACCTCCCATCGACGACGGTTACTACTTCGGTACATCTTGCATGCCTCTTTTTGGACAAATATTTTCCTGAGATGAATGCTTCAGCCCTACGGAGGGAGGTAATTGGAATCAAGCAACATAAAAGAGAAGCCTTGCATATGTATTGGGAAAGATTCAAGAAACTTTGTGCCCAATGTCCAAAGCATGGAATCACCGAATACCAGCTCCTCCAATACTTCACTGAAGTTATGACTCCAATGGAGAGAAGGCTTTTTAATGCCTCAAGTGGTGCGTCTTTACTGGATAAGACTCCAACCGAAATACGGAACTTAATCAAGAACACGGCTGAAGATTATAAGCATTCA